AATCACAGGACACTGCGTTTTGTTTAACGGTCAACACACATTTGTTGATGGCCAATCGGTGACACACTTCTATATGCCTTACTCCCGTAATTACAGTTAAGACAACTACTTGCAGGGCAATTCAACAGCCTGTGGTGATATTGTTTGTGCTATGTGAACACAGGGAAGCTTGATACAATCAATGATCGCTGGAATGTAGAATGTAGTTTATAGCACAAAGTTAATAATGCCAATAAAATTAGGTCAAAGCTCTGCAGTATGTCTGAGCCCAAACTTCTCCCTGAGTCAATACGGCAACAACGTTGTCGGCGTCGTAGACAATGTAGACGTTATAGACAGTGTAAACGTTGTAGACAGTGAATGTGTTGTAGACGTTGTAGACAGTGTAGACGTCGAAGACGCTGTAGACGATGTTTACGTTTCAGAATTCGCGCCAATTGGTTCTCTACACTTCACCGAGAAGTGTTAATCACAAAAACGCGTATCAACATACCAAGGATTATGCTCATGTCGTTAGAGTATATGCATTGCAGTCATACCTTCAACAATTAACACACATAAACAATATATTTTATCTAATTCAATCAAAGTGCATGTTATTCTCCTATATGTGAACTAACCATGTCTACAGTCACCTCCCTGCAACTAACCCATGGAGGAACACTTATATTTAATTCTATCAAAACGAGTGAAACAAATTATGAAATGAATGACAGTCGTGGTACAATCACATTCCCACAATGAGCCCCAAATCTGTCAGATGTACTGTCAGACCCTATTGTGACACGTGTGGAATGTGTGAAATTAAACAGAACACTCTCTCGTCGCTTCTGAAAACAGCGCACTGAAGTCAACACCAGTCAACACACGGGCACCAGCGGCCTAATGGCGCCGTTATTCGATGTGCGGCCTCCAATAGTGGGTTCGAATCCCAGAATGCGATCTTTGGTTTGTCAGGATCAAACCCGTGTTGTGAAGTTTAGTAAAATGATACACGTCCTGGACATTCTCTCCCACAGAGGGACCCGTAGTGATGTAAATGACACATTGTTAAAACAGCATTCAGCAGAAGTCCCTCACACATTGAAATGACCAGCATACGGTGGGGCTTCTGGTTTTGACATAATTCACGAAACACGAAAGTGCTATTATAGAAATACAGATTAGTGAATGTTGGAGTCAGGGGTAACCAAGGACATCCTATAAAATATAAACGAAAACACTATATATTAGTTTCTCAGAAGATTTGCGGATGTCACCATGACTACAAGGACTGGAGATTTCCCACACATCGCCCGACCTAGCGGTCGCTGGATAACAAAAAAAAATCACATCAAAAGTTGGGTGACTGTAGTGCCAGGCTGGCACTAACAAGCGACAGAAATCAGATCCGCAACAATTAGAGAAACTATGTCAGTTCACAACCCACAGTTCATGTAAAGCACTGCTTCCTTTGTGGTGTTGCAGACCGCGGTACATTGTGTACGTGGCCTATATAATTGCAATACAGCGTCATGCACTTCGTTTCGTTAGTTTCTGTTGAAGACAAAATACTTTTTAGCTCGCAAATTGATGCATTTGTTTTACAAACCAGGACAGTTTATAGATTTATAAACTTAAAGTCCAAAAGAATTTTACCACTTTAATAATGAAATTGCAAAAAGTTAAAAACACAAGTTCAAACTAAATAAATGTTCCATGCAGAAATTGATATACGTCCATGGCACGTTTTTTGTGACGAAAATGCGAAAAAGGGATAAAAGTGCCGCCTTGGCGGCCGATATATGAGCATGTCAGACACTCACGCTGATAAAAAAACATCACCACGGAAATGCCACGACTGACACCCGAACAACGCGAGCTAGCTCTGGGTATGATACAGATGGGAGCCACCCATGCCCACATTGCTAGAACATTTGGTTTCTCCTGTGTTGCTGTAACTAACCTCATGCAACGTTACAGACAGGCCGGGCAGATATCAGACAGGACAAGCACAGGCAGACCCAGGGTTACTAAGCCCAATGAAGACCGGTACTTGCGTACTTAGTATCTCCGGAATCGATTCCTGATAGTGACGTCATCAGTGACGAATACCTTAGGGCATACGGCTACTAGACAGACAGTGACCAGGCGAATTAGGAATCACATACCTTACAGACTTTACGTTGGCAACGACGTGACTGGCAGAGGGTCGTCTTCACTGATGAAAGCCAGCTCTGTTCAGAGCTGATGGAAGACAGCAAGTGTGTACCGCCGAAGGGAAGAACGAACGGCGGCATGTTGAGTTCAGGGGTCGTGCCGTGTGGTGGAGGGCGTGTTATAGTGTGGGCAGGAGAGACATACTGGTCATCGTTAACGGCAATTTGACAGCTCAGCGTTACATGGATGACATTCTTTGTCCGACTACGTTTCTACAACAGCTGCGACGTGGTGTCCTTTATCAACATGACAACGTCAGACCCCATACAGTCCGAATCGTACAGAACTTCCTTGCAGCCAACAACGTCAACGAATCGCCGTGTCCTTCACATGTCCCAATAGAACACCTCTGGGATGTCATGGATCGTCGTGTTCGACAGCGAACACATCTCAAGCAAATCGACAAAACCTTATCCAGGCCCTCAAGAAGAATGGCGACGTATCTCACATGACATCATTAGACGACTGACTTTTTTCTGTGCGTCTATCTTTTATGGTTTTCAAACTAGAGTGATTTAAAACTATGGTAAAGATTCTTTTGGTCGTAAGTTTAATTAAAGGGGGGCTATGTTCACTGGTGTGGTCACCAGTCCAGGCTGGGTCAAGACATTGTAAATAGTGCCACATGTGAAACTGAGGCATTGCCCCTGTGTACCTAACACAATCCTCAACAGGTTGATTGATAGTTACAATATAGTAGGGACGGGGGCTAGCTTAGTGGTTAAAGCCTTCGGTCGTCACGCCGTGGAATTGATGGAATATTTCTAAAGGCATGCCTGCTCCTCATTCACTCACTCTGTAGGACGGAGACGACCTGGTTTTGGTCCCAGTGCAATCCCCCTTGAAAAAGAGCAAGTGAGATCCTGAGTGATCGAGTTGGGTTTAACGCTGCTTTGAACGGTATTTCAGTTATGTCATGGCATGTCAGATTAATGCCAATCAAATAGACTTTTATCACTTTTGTGGGAACTCACGAGTATGGCTATGGTGCTGATAAACCTAGAAAGATAACTAAGGCGAACCTTGATTTGAACCCACGATCACAGGTTTCTGGGACGAAATTTGACGCTTTAGACGACTGGGACACCCTTGCTGCTAGCTTCAGAGTGAGAAAATGATAATGGCGTAATAATGTCATAATTATAGTCAATCAAAAGACACTCAGATTCGACTTGTTCATCGTCATTTGGAGTCGATGCTAAAATAGTGTGATCTTGTTGATTCGCTTCATCCTTTTGTGATGGAAAACTAAAAATCGTTGAATGTTAAAATGCATTTTATGTTGGAGGAAGGTAAAAAGTTTAAATTGCGCATGCACTGCGGTGTAATTGTCAGATACCAAATCATCTTGTCCGATTCCAGTATAATTTGACTCGTGATACAAGAAACGTGATGCCTTTGTAGTGCAAAATTGAATTTATTATCCTTTTTATTCCGTGGATGTGTTATTTCCCCGACAAGGAGACTCAGAAAAGACGTAATCGCGCCATAAAGAGATTCTAAATTGCCTTTCAATTGATAAAAACGTCAAATGCATATTCAGCTGAAATTTAGTTTTTCTTCTTTGGTTCACATATAATTACTTTAAATTGAAAACTTAACTTTTAAAACTATTGTCATCCAACAATTAACGCGACGAATGTACACACGGTGTATCGGCATGCAAGGGATGAAATAATAAGAAAATAATAGGCTTCGACCTATATTTATGATTATTATATAAAAATTATAAATAATTTGGTTCTGAAGTATCTGTAGTGCTGAAATATAAAAACAGAAACAGAAATAGTCAATTAGTTGTAGATTAACCTTTTCAATTACACTATATTATCAGTTCATCAATATGTGATCCCATAATATTATTTTAATGTTCTCGTAATAAAGATATCCTTTCTCATAAATTAAGTGAACTAGTGTGTGAGTTAGAAGATCAACATTTGGCGTTTTTTAGACTTTTCAGAAAACAAATACAAAGGTTTTCAACTAAGGCGAGGATACCAATTTATCAAAGGCTCAAAGATTTGTTCACGCCAAGATATAAGGTTCAACTTAATTGTGCAGTTGACCTTTAGCGCATGAGGGTTCATCTAAATACAATTTCACCAAGGTGTATAAGAAGGAAAAACAATCTGTCTAGATGTTCTCGGTACTGTACGTTCCACTATTGATGTCAAATGACATTTATAGAAATTAAACCAATTAAACAATCTGTCTAGATGTTCTCGGTACTGTACGTTCCACTATTGATGTCAAATGACATTTATAGAAATTAAACCAATTAAACAATCTGTCTAGATGTTCTCGGTACTGTACGTTCCACTACTGATGTCAAATGACATTTATAGAAATTAAACCATGTTTAAACTCATGGAATTGAGAAATATTGAAATAAGAAACATATGCGTAGTTAATTTTGAAGTCACTAAGAGGGCTGTGTCAATATAAAACATGTATTATCCAATCAAATTGGAATGTTTAACGTCCTTCCTTTCGGCCATCACATTTAATTTTCAGAGTAGAAATAATACAGTGTACATTTCAAAAACCAACATTATGTCGAACAAAGTGGTATGTGTTGTGCTTATATATGGTTTTCAAACACCAAAAAGAGAAAATATATTGATATTTGAGAGAAGTCTTCCTTCTGAGGTAAATATTCAGCAAGATATCGAGTTCTTTCTGAGCTATCCCATGCATTTTTGTCCAGTTGTGTCCAAAGTGTTGCCTTTCACTACCGGGTCTTTCGGAATTTGAAACATTTCCGTTTTTCCTTTTTTTCTGAATAGTAAATATAATTAGAATTTGATTTTAAATCATTTATTACGTAGGTGTACATAAATATATGTCAGTATATGCACTGTAGCCGAAGTCGTAACACATGAAACTAAAAGCTAAACAACGATCAACGAACTTCCGCTTCTGTCAGGTTTATTCCATAATATTAGGCCGCAGAGGCTGGTGTTACAAAATTAGAGTTGTGTCACATGGCACCACCACCGCTAGATGTCGCTGCGTTTCCGGAAACGTCGTTTATCCAGTTATTAACGATCTTCTCTAACAGTCTCAGCGGTACTGGACCATTCTCCAGAATCTGACTATGGAAGTCTCCTATATCGAATTTGGAACCTGAAATTATAAACCGGACATTCTTTGAATACAATTGTACAGTGCACCATATACATCAAGACCGTTGAAAAATAATGAAGCGATACAATTTTTGAAGTCTCTGAATGTTGACGATTCTGCTTTTAGTGAGTGAGTTAGGTTTAACGCCTTTTTTTTAACAATATTCCAGTTATATCACGGCGTGTCAGCTTAATGTGGGTGGAAAGCCCGAAGTCATGCAGGTCTCAGAGGTTTACCACTTTCTGTGAAACCCACGAGCACGGGTATGGTGCTGACAAACCTAGAAACATAATCGGGGTGAACCGGGATTCGAACCCACAATCATAGGTTTCTGGCGCGCCCAAGGGACACAACACTGCACAGCGAATCGCGGCGCCTTAGACGACCGGGCCACCCGTGCCCCCTCTGCTTTTAGGGACTGGTCATGCACATATGGATGAGCAAACCTTTCTTTTCATGGTGTGATAAAGAACTTACAGGAAGGTGTCCAAGTATACTTTTAAATTAGTTTTAGGGATAATGAATTCATTCAGTCTTACACGCAGCTACTACATCACGTGTCAAACCATCTACTACCCAACAGCTAAGTGTAATCTTCTGTATTGTATGAGGGAATTTCCTGTAGTAGCATGTCAATTAAAATATGGAACGAACCCAGCTTGTCCATCGCAGTTTGTCGCAGCTCCTTTATTTTAAGTTCTCCAATCTTGTAAGCACATGCTTGACCGGGCGTGGTGATGTAGCGGTTTATTTCTATCTCAATCTCATTTCGGCCCATCGGGGTGTGGTCAGCCATGTACGTGATGGCCTGCTGACGTGTCCATCTTCGATAGGAAAGAAAGATAGACATGGTTTTGGTCAAAATACACATAACTCTGGATCCACTACCAGCAAACGACGCCATCTCTGTGTAGTTACAGTCACCGATGATGTCAGGTGAAATGGGGTTTAACGTCGCGTTCAAGATTATTGGGCTTATATAGCCACGTGCATGCACGCGCGTATGCCTGTGTCTCTTTGTGTGTGTGTCCGAACCGACCAGTTCTTGTTGTAACCCCATCATGCTGTGCGCCAGGCAGGGTAACAACAAGTACCATCTTCTAACGTCTTTTGGTATGACGCGGCCGGGGATAGAACCCCTGGGCCTTCCGCTCCCCGGGCGGACGCTCTACCACTAGAACATTTGGGGCGGTCCCCTATGACGTCAGCAATACGTCATGTAGATGATGTCAGCAACGTGAGATTTGTAAGACTAAAAAGGAACTTTATGTATCATCATGTTTAGTATTCGTTTATTATTGTTATATTTTAGTGCAGGTATGTCATCCTCACAAATTCACTTTGATACCGAACACATGAACCAAATTCTTCTCTTCCTACTTCCCTATGAAACAGATTCCTACTTACCCAATGACAACATGGCTATTTTTGCAACGTTATTTCTTGACATTACCAGAGGTTGGTGAAGATCTAATGACAGAGACACATTGCTTTCTGTTCAGGCTGTTTCTGCCCACGTCAGACATGTCTCCACGTCTCAATCCTTCTCCCATGACAGACGCCTCTATCATCACATTCATGCTCAGTGAGAGAGTATAATCTTTAGAGATTAAAGAGACAGTTAAGTGTCTTTGTGAAATATATTTTTCCAATGCCATTACTGCCGCTTCCGACGTTGATCGTCCATCTGTGGTATGCAGCTACATTACGATAACACTTCATGTCTGCTGGGCACATGGAAGACATTGTTGATTGGAACTCACCCAAAGTAATGTAATCCCGTGTCAACGACCAGTCTGCACGCACGGAATATCTCCTCCCCATATCGACCAAGTCTGAGAATTGGAAACGAAACCATGAAAACAGGGGTTCTTTACTGTTAAACGTCGCGCAGGTCTTCCTATTCCAGCCACAATAATGATGCTGATTATTTTCATCATCACCATCACCATCACCATCACCGTCACCGTCACCGTCACCGTCACCGTCATCATAAATAGAATATTACGTGAATTTCAAATAACGCCCATAGCACATACATGTATTACTCTGTCAAGGATTCAATGTAAAATTTGCATTCAAAACTTCCTCGGGAGTATACAACTCAAGCTCTTTCCTGTCGGGTACCCATTCTCTGCTGGGTGAACTTCTAAATACTTTTTTAACTTCCAAGGGCTACATGCTCAGCAATGGCTATATGGACCATTGAAATTACCGTGGGATATTTTGCATGAAATGGTAATATGAAGCGCAGTAGACTATATTCATACTCACAGTTCGTTATCGTCTTTATAGATACCTAAATATTCTCCGAGAGATTCTGCGTATAGACCCCATCCCTGATAAAGAAACACATCAAAATAAAAGATCCATGAAGAAGACAGTCTGGAATGAGATATTGGTCTGCAGAGAGTGCGCATGGTCTGGACAATTTAAAATTGACTTATATATTGTAATACCATCGATGATGAATCTCTTACTACTGCCTCCAGAGGGAACCAATGTCATATTGAATACATCAATACGGACTTCATTGAAAATAATCGCAGATCGAGTCAATATGAGGTATTGTCTCTGCGCATAATGGCCATGGCCTATCGTTGAATTATAATATCACAGCAGCCCAATCAGAGAGTTATTGGGCCTGGAAGCCCCGGGGTTAAAATACAATGCATCTTCCTGTTCTGGTGCTTGGTTCTGCCCTCAGACTGTTACCAGTATTGACTGAAATGAAGTAATTTAAGACCCAAATGTGTAAAAGACCATTTCTGCCTTAAACGGAATGTATATACATTCTTTAATAATGAAAGGCAATTTGGAAGAGCACTATAAGGAATGAGTTTAAGCTCATATTCAATTCCATAAAACAAAGAAAATATATAATGAATTCTGAACATACACAAGAAAATGTCCAACAGGCCTCACCAGTACCATGAATAAAGATTGACTAATACAATACTGTCTTCATCCAATATAATCTCATATTCAGCTAATATGACTTATTGTCTATTGCCATAGCTTTTATACCATACAAAAATAATGATTCAATATCACAGCGACCCAAATGCAATGCCTTTTCTTGTTCTGATGCCTAGTTTCTCTGCTTTGACTGTGTCCAGTGTTTTTGCTTAATTCTGTGCAAGTGAGTGAGTGAGTTGGGTTTAACGCAGCTTTTAACAGTATTACAGTTATATCGCGGCGTGTCAGTGGGAGGAAAGTCCGAAGTGATGCAGGTCTTAGACGTTTACCACCTCGGTGAAACCCACGAGCACGGGTATGGGGCTGACAAACCTAGAAACATAATCGGGGCGAACCGGGATTCGAACCAACAATCATAGGTTTCTGGCGTGCCAGAGGGACGCAACTCCGCACAGCGAATCGCGGCGCCTTAGACGACTGGGTCACCCGTGCTCCCAATTCTGTGCAAGGGTTTGATCTGATGTTAAAGTTGTTAAAGAGAAACACTCTATTCTGATAACAAGTATATGTCTAGGTCCAGGAGTTGTATTTGGTGTCATGTGTGTAACCCAGACATTTGTACGTATTCTTGGTTGTCATTAACTGTTAGATTTATATACAAAATACAATTTGAGTTTGTAGTTAAACAAAGTGTTTGATGGACTTACGTCATACTTGCTTGGATGTAGACCACACCCAGCTACTCACCTCAGTGTACGCCGTGTAAAACGGAAAGTGATAAGGAACGGCAAAATATTTCTCATATTCAATATTTCTCTGGAAGTCTGGCAGGCTGGCAGTGAGTGCGTACACGGACTGAAACGATGGGGAGTAGAAGGTATTCACTGATTAGGTGGCAGCAATTATGTTACAACATGTAGCTGGGTATACCATCTCTGAGAACGTGTTTACACTTTGTGATCATGTCAACGACGCACCTGTAGATGATGACCAGGAACTGTTTCATGTAGAGTCAATGCCATCATACTGAACGTGTTTCTGAAAGAAGATACATCGACAGAACTGAGCACCAGAACACGTTAGATATGGTGTGTCATGGTGGCGTCGCTAAGAACATATATATATATATAATGGCATAACATTGACCAGGTACTTTGTTTTAAAGGTGAGGTGAGGTGAAATTGGGTTTAACGTCGCGTCCAAGATTATTGCACTTATATAGCGACGTGCATGCACTTTGTTTTAAAGACTGCTGAAACGAAATTATTTTGTACCAACGCCACTACATGTAGGTTATTAGTGAGTGTGAGTGAGTATGGTTTTACGCCGCTTTTAGCAATATTCAAGCAATATCACGGCGGGGAACACCAGAAATGGGCTTCACATATTGTACCAATGTCGGGAATCGAACCCAGGTCTTCGGTGTGACGAGCGAACGCTTTAACCACTAAGCTACCCGACCGCCCCTGCAGGTTATTAAGTTACCACATATACTAAAGACATTTTACTGAGCACATATCACTACCAACGACTGGCACCGACGAATCCGACAAAGAACAAATAATCCATTTGGTTTGACCTAATCTGTAATGTAGGTTCAGCATACATATAATGTATTTACTTCTCTGATTGTGAGTATCTCAAGCATATAAGCTCAATATCCGAGTATGGTAATGTTAATGAACAATTCATTTAAGGTGATTCTTTCGTATCAAACACGACAAACATGAGGAAAGATTTCATGGGGGCGTTTGTCAAAAAACGTAGTTGCCATAGATATACTAACATATCTATCTACATGCCTTTGCACATGTGTTTGTGACAGGCGCGATCGGCGGGGCAGGATACGGTCGCCTTTTCGCGAAAATCTGGTATCATCACTATTTGATAGTGATTCATAAAAACCTGCTTGTGATATAGTCGGAATCGTACAATGGTCAACGAAGATTTCTTAAGATTATGGAAAGATATTTGACGCTGTTATCATTTACGACAGAAACCCGAGTGTGTTATTCCGGAACTGTTTTTCGGTTAATTAAAGGAAAGTGTTAACTTATGATGATATATTTACTTACGTTTCGTTTGGCCTTTTAAGGTTGACCTGGAATACTCCCTGTCGTGATCCGTCCGCTGTTCCCGCTATGTACGCCCCCCCTGTACCGTCATTAGGCATGGACTCCACACTGGTGACGGAGGGTCAACAGGGATAGTTCTTTATATATTGCAACTTTCGTTAATGAACGTCAGCGACCCCTTCAGTTGTAAAATGGATTTCAACGCTCGAGGTGTTACTCGGGAGCGTTGAATGCATATCTTTCGCGATCGTGCGATGATTGTAATGAACTGTAGAGCACGTCCCAATAATCGCGACTTTGACGCGAGACATTCGCGCCCCGGTCGCGATCGATGGGACGTTTCTTTTGAACAGAATAACAAATAACAAAGGTCAAAGATACAATTTTCACTGCTACAGCAGTAACTAGGACAACTTCTACCAGCATATTTATAGAACGTGTGTGTGTGTGTGTGTGTGAACTTGTAATAGTCCGGACTTATGCCGGGGTTATAGTGCTGGCCCATTGGCGATACCATGCCGCGGTATAACATGCATACACCACTTAGACACAGCCGAGCCGACCAGCCAGTGTTTTATCCTCTTAAATGCCGAACGCCAGACAGGGTAGCAACACGTACCATATGAAGGCTTTTTTGGTATGACGCGACCCGGGGATCGAACCACCGACCTTGCACTCTCTGGGCAGACGCTCTATCCACTAGACCACGGATGCCATCTCTCAAACAATAATAACATGTATCTATAGGAAGGCTGCTAATAATCATTGTTTACGGCAATTTCGGCTTTAAAATATGATTTAGAACAACATGTGACCATAGACCAAGTGGTAGACAGGCAGATTTTAATCGGCAGCCATTGATATTTGCGGCGAATGGACAGAACTCTGCCAATCGCGTTGCGGCGTCATTTCATTGTCTTACGCCTAGCGCAATCCATGTGTGTCTTACCTGACATTGAGGTTTGGTATATTCTTGAATGCCCTCGACAACTGTGGGTATATTCTCTCATATACCATATATCGGTATTCCTTCAAGAGTTCATCCTGGAATTATAGAAAGGGAACTTCTTCAATATAATTTCAATTCCTTCGTCTTTCGTACTTCTTTCCATCTTGTAAACACGTAAACATTCAACATGCGTGATAATCGTGTGAGTGAGAAGGAAGCTGACCTTGGTACTAGTATCCGAGGAACATTACATGGGCTCCACATGAACCCGTTTGGGGATTCGAACCAAAACATCTGCTACATACTTAAACGCACTAACTCCTCCGCTAACCAATACTCAATAGGAGGGTGATATAACAATCCTGGTTGGAAATAAACCACGGATATCCATTCAGGTTTACATATTTATGAATTCGTAAGAATTTAATTGACACAAATTGAAACATCTAGATTATGTCATCTGCCTTTCCTTTTCCTCAACATATAACGATTATTTAACTTCGATAATAAGAGCTATCTTTATAAGTGCATCGTAACCCCTGGTGATGCTACATGGAAACGGGAAGTTATAAAGATCCGAAATACTTGTATATATCAATCGCTGCACATGAATCACCTCAACTTACGGCACTGTTCAGATGAAACTGGGGTTGTTCTTTCAACTGCTTGTAAAATTCTGCTACTGTCCCAGTAAATTTTCTTTTCCGCATTATCTAAAATGAATTCATCCATTAAGGTAGTTTTATACTCAGTTTGGAGATGTGTATAAACTACAGGTAGTGGAGACACATACCTCGTATCAATCCACTGTAAGGTAAAATGATGGCATTGAAGAATTGAATGATAGTCTAAAGGGAATGTCATACGTTTCCAAAAGCTATTTCTTTTCATTCCTTATTTCACTTTGTCGATGCTAGTGTTTCCTTCCTTCCATCCTTTATCTCACCATCTGTATCTCTGAGCTGATCCGCGCAACCTCCTCCTTGCCCTTCTGATGCACCTCCTCTGGGGTGAGGTCCACCGAGATGTGCCACTTCAGGCAGGCCCTGTACAAGTCTTTACCTTTAGGCAGCCCCAACACACCGTACGTGCTGCGTGTCTGGAATATGTAGTCCTGCAACAGAACATGGCATGTGACTCGCAGTAGAAGTACTTGGGGCAGCTGTCATTCCGCGGGAATGAGTGATGTCAGTTGGTGTGAATGAGTGACGTCAGTTGGTGTCAATGAGTGACGTCAATAGATATGAATGACTGACGTCAGTAGGTGTAGATAAGTGGCGCCAGTAGGTGTGAATGATTGACGTCAGTTGATGTAAATGAGTGACGTCAGTAGGTGTCAATAAGTGACGTCAGTAGGTGTGAATGAGAGACGTCAGTAGGTGTGAATGAGTGACGTCAGTAGGTGTCAATGAGTGACGTCAGTAGGTGTGAATGAGTGACGTCAGAAGGTTTGAATGAGAGACGTCAGTAGGTGTGAATGATTGACGTCAGTAGGTGTGAATTAGAGACGTCAGTAGGTATGAATGAGAGACGTCAGTAGGTGTGAATGAGAGACGTCAGTATGTGTGAATGAGTGACGTCAGTAGGTGTAATGAGTGCCGTCAGTAGATGTGAATGAGTGACGCCAGTAGGTGTGAATGAGTGACGTCAGTAGGTGTCAATGAGTGACGTCAGTAGGTCTGAATGGGAGACGTCAGTAGGTGTGAATGAGTGACGTCAGTAGGTGTCAATGAGTGACGTCAGTAGGTGTGAATGAGAGACGTCAGTAGGTGTGAATGAGTGACGTCAGTAGGTGTGAATGAGTGACGTCTGTAGGTGTGAATGAGTGATGTCAGTAGGTGTCAATGAGTGACGTCAGTAGGTGTCAATGAGTGACGTCAGTAGGTGTGAATGAGTGACGTCAGTAGGTGTGAATGAGTGACGTCAGTAGGTGTGAATGAGAGACGTCAGTAGGTGTGAATGAGTGACGTCAGTAGGTGTCAATGATTGACGTCCGTAGGTGTCAATGAGTGACGTCAGTAGGTGTCAATGAGTGACGTCAGTAGGTGTGAATGAGTGACGTCAATTAGGTGTGAATGAGTGACGTCAGTAGGTGTGAATGAGTGACGCTAGAAGGTGTGAATGAGTGACGTCCGTTGATGTGAATGAGAGACGTCAGTAGGTGTGAATGAGTGACGTCAGTAGGTGTGAATGAGTGACGCCAGTTGGTGTGAATGAGTGACGTCAGTAGGTGTGAATGAGTGACGTCAGTAGGTGTCAATGAGTGACGTCAGTAGGTGTGAATGAGAGACGTCAGTAGGTGTCAATGAGTGACGTCAGTAGGTGTGAATGAGAGACGTCTGTAGGTGTGAATGAGTGACGTCAGTAGGTGTGAATGAGTGACACCAGTAGGTGTGAATGAAAGACGTCAGTAGGTGTCAATGAGTGACGTCAGTAGGTGTCAATGAGGGACGTCAGTAGGTGTCAATGAGTGACGTCAGTTGGTGTAAATCAGTGACGCTAGTACATGTAGGTGAACGAGTGGCCTCAATATGTATTATTAAGTGATGTCAGTAAATTATATGAATGGTTCACTAAAAATCAGTGACAGCACCAGGTGTTAACGAAAAGCTTAAGCATGCCCTGCTCTACCGGTAACCTACACACAACCCAGGCAGATAAAGGGTACTAACAGAGAGCTTCCACATCCACCGTCATTAGTTGTTACCGAAATACATTGAAATATTGGAAGTTTCCTCGTGTATAGTAAACCTAAGAATTGGTAAACCATTATCACGCGACAGAAACACATATAAACAATATACATATAATATAGAGGGTCGGTGGCGTAGCCTTGTTGTCAAAACGTTCGCTCGTCACGACGAAGGGTTCGATTCCCCACATAGGTACAACGTGTGAAGCCCATTTTTGCTGTCCATATTGCAGGATATTGCTGGAATATCGCTGAAAATAACTTTTATAATGTCAATACAAACAACCAAACACTTTTTTATAACACTCAGCTATAAATCAACTAACCCTCGGGAAATTCCAGGCGCGACCTGCCCTAAACGACAATGAGAGTGGTCTCTCAAGTATTTTATCATAGAATCTCATCTCGTAAACAACTACCGTTCAGGAAAGCGGAATCCTTGTATTTCGAACATATGAAACAAAGTCAAATGAACAAATATAACATGTAAAAACGAGAAAGAGCATATTGACTTTTACTAGTTATCTAACGCATGCTATCAGCGCAAATCAGTTTTCTGCTTCACTACTCCATTCAGTCCTACCAGCCCTGTGTGTACCTGCTCAATGTATTCCTTGATTCCCTTGAACCCGTCCAGCAGATTCACCACAGCCTGTCGACCACGAGTGCGTAAGTCTGTCCTGGAAATAAATAGACAGACTATATACGATGGATTTAAAGATTATTGCACCGTATCCTGTCGTAACAAACGTTGTAGGCCAGTGTGTCACTCTTATTACGCCTCAACAGCTTATTGATTACATTTTCCAACCGTACGAATTAAAACGTTGAGTCCATCTACATGGAAACTCTAAATACTTTTACATGTCACAATATTTTGAGACAACTTTACAACTTTACTTTATAATTTGGTATGTTGAACTCTGATCCTCACTCACATATTCTACACAATCCATACGAAAGAGTTATTGTTTGGGCTACAGTTTTTCAGTTATGCCACATCGTGACAGTTTAATGAGGACGCAAAGCCATAACCAGGATGAATCTGGGAATGTTACCCACTTTCAATGGAGAATGGCACTTGAAAGGAACGAAATTCTGCACAGCGAGTTGCATTGCCAATCCCCAGAGGACTAGGTAATCCGTATTTATTATCATTTTTAAGAGTTCTATTGCATCCCTTCCACATACTTGGCAGTAATGGAGATGGGCAGCTTGTCGACGTCAGTGGTGAATGGCTTGTAGAAGACTGATGTCTCAGGGTTTGCCACCAGCAGCGGCTCAATCTGTCCTGGGAGTTTGTCCTGGAGGGTTATACACGTAGCATCAGATTCAAGACAGATAATTGAAGTCACTATATATTTTTATATATGTTTATATTTATCGTCGTCACATGTTTTACACTATGGTGATTCTTTTCAATGATAAAGCATCCTTTCGTTAAAAAAAGTGAAGATAAACTTGTCGATTGCTTCATGTATGCATTTCATACTTATTACTCCAATGCAACATATAAATATTGCCTGTGAATAAACAATCCGGTTTCGAATAATCAAGCACCGATACAAACACCATGGTAAGATGCCATCCAATCAGCCTGGTCATTAAATCTACCCATTCTCATCTCAAGAGCCTAATGGAGAGTTGCATAACAATAGATTCCATATTTCATAGAGTGAGATAAAAAAAAATAGATAACACCGTTTGTTGTTTCCTTTTGATAAAGATATAGATCCAGATATACAATTACTTGTAACACTTGAAAAGGCGCCTGGTTCGAGAGAAGATACAAATGTGTCACCCGTCAATTTCTATTAAACCATGGACCAAAGATGTTTTGCCTTGACGGTTGTCTTGTATGTGTTCTTACCACTGAGACTCGATGGTACGTATGTCCGTTCTTCGCCGCTTCCTTGAACCGTGTAATGTACTGGTTAAACTAGAACATATTGTGTATATTATAATTATGAGGTATAACTAATGTTGATATGTCAAATCATTAACGATGAAAGCACGAAAAGTTACATTTACAAATTCAACGTAGATATCTTAAACGAATGTAGTTCATGAGGTGAACATTAAAGCGTCTACTCTCATGGATATTGAAATGATGACATTTTATCGTTAATCCTTGCTTTCCCAAAATATGTATAAATCTATGTTTGTGGAACTATTCAATAAAATGTGTTTACTTGCATGTTTTAACTGCATTTATACAAGACAATGCGACAATGAATGAAAAGGGATTGTAAAATGTGCATCCTAAATGTAGAATTCTCGTTCTAGACATGGAACCAACACGGTACAAATATTGTCACAAGACGAATTTAAGACGAACGGACTTACATCCTATTGCGTGTCTACAACCAGATGTGTAGCACTCAAAGATATCCCATTAGAAATCTACATGTCAGTTTGATCGGTTTGACTTCATGATCAGTTATAGGACATGACGTATCGGGCACGTAATTCAACCATATATTAAAACCACAATGACATGGTACATTATCTTCCGGTCATATGTAAATCCTATGCTAACAGTTGTCCGGCCAGCAGTGGTATACTGGCGAGAGAAGAACAATAGCGACATTCCACGGTCATACGTGTTGTGCTTATGACAATTACTAGCTTGAAATGACTAAAATACATCTTAATAAGACCATTTCGGACAGTGAGCAGTCAATGAATTTAACATTTGATACATAAACACATTTGATCAAACCACAAGACAAGAAAACAATAAACTCCAGTTTACCTTAGTCGGCCACAGTTGTAACCGGGAGAGGTAATTCTCGTAATCCTGTTTTGTTTCATAATTAAGGATGCGTACAGTGTATGCAGGATCGATCTGGTCGCCTTCTAGGAAGTTGAGAGGATTCAGGGGACCATAGCTGAAATAAGGATATATAACAGTAACAGGAGAAAGTACAAATATGTTAATCGTGTCAGAATTGTGTCATAAAGCATCGAATAATGTAACAATTGTCCTGACTGAAAATGTATTGTGTGAAGAAGCACTTTAAAGGCAAATTGTCACATGATGAAACAATTTCAATCACATTTCTAACATAATACAAATACATGAATCGTATCCTTACTGGTAATCCAGGATTTTGAGACAAGTAGGCGGTGCACCGAAGTTGGGCAAACATATTTGGTTTATTATACAGGTAGAGAGGGTGTATGCATATTGTGCACGTGCAGGTCATGACGATGAAACTGACTACGCTCCCATGGACACAAGTGTTGCCCATAAGACCATTATGTCGATACCAGAATTCTTAGCCGAGACATCCATGGTACTACTTGTCGAGGACCACCCGCTACCCCTCTCTTTAAAATGGCGCACGCCAATGGGCGGACCTCATACATAGTCATAAGGGGTTAATTGTCAGGTCACAACTCAGCTTATCCTGGCTGGCTTACCTGTAGGTTACTATTATAATGACTTACCATGTAATACAAAGTAAGTGATAGGTATAGCAGCATAATACAAAGATAGAGATACGTATTCTATCATATTGGTTCGTTGTTGGTTGGTTTGTTGTTTAACGCCGCACTCAGCAATATTCCAGCTATATGACGGCGGTTTGTAAATAATCGAGTCTGGACCAGACAATCCGGTGATTAATATCATGAGCATCACTCCACACAATTGGGATCGATGACATGCATCAACCAAGTCAGCGAACCTGACCACCCGATCCCGTTAGTCGCCTCTTACGACAAGCATAGTCGCCTTTAACGGTAAGCATGGGTTGCTGAAGACCAATTCTAGCCCGGATCTTCACGGGTCGAATTCTATCATAAAGCACATAATGTGAAACGCATCTTGATATCACAAGCACCACATTAGGAACATATACGTACACGCGCCACTGGTGGTTGGAAGAAAACGTGGATAGAGTGTCGTTAAACACTTCATAACTGTACTTCTCTGATGTCGTCAAGGCGTCGGTGCTGATGGTGGAGAGTCGGCGGATAAAGTCATCTATTATGGCCTGAAATTAAATATCACATAACGTTATACAAGCACACCTTTGAGTCGTTGATTTGTCGACCCAGAAATGTACACAGAGCTCACGCTAGGGGCATCATCATCAGTGAGGAAGAGCGGTCAGTCTGGAACACAGATCGATGGCAAGGACATGTCCATATAGAACAGATGTCGCGTGAGTGTTCAAAGCATGAATACACCAAATTTCGGTGAGTATATATCACACAAATTTCCAAAAAAACGGTTAATACAATGTCCTTTTCTGGAAATGTCATGTGTGTTCTTTTCAATACCTCGGCTGGAAAGATATTAATACTGAAGTACGGAGGTGAGGTGAAACGTCGCATTCAAAATTATTGCACTTCTAAACCGACGAGCACGCACTGGTGTGTGTGTGTATGTGTGTCTGTATATAAACAACATGCCGGAGAGGAAGACCCTATTGCCTGACAGTTTGTACATGAGCAACATGCTTGAAAAGAAGACCCCATTACCTGACTGTCTGTCTGTTATAAACAACATTCGGGAGAGGAAGACCCTATAACTTGACAGTCTGTACATAACAACATGCTGGAGTGGAAGACCCTATTACCCTGACAGTCTGAACATAAACAACACGCTGGAGAGGAAGACCCTATTACCTGACTGTCTGTACATAAACAACATGCTAGAGAGGAAGACTTATTACCCTGACTGTCTGTACATGAACAACATTCTGGAGAGGAAGACCCTATTACCTCACAGTCTGTACATAAACAACATTCTGGAGAGGAAGACCCTATTACCTCACAGTCTGTACATAAACTACATACTGGATCGGAAGACCGTATTACCTCACAGTCTTACATAAACAACATACTGGATAGGAAGACCCATTTCCCTGACTGTCTGTACATAAACAACATTCTGGAGAGGAAGGCCCTATTACCTCACAGTCTGTACATAAACAACATTCTGGAGAGGAAGACCCTATTACCTCACAGTCTGTACATAAACAACATGCTAGAGAGGAAGACTTATTACCCTGACTGTCTGTACATGAACAACATTCTGGAGAGGAAGACCCATTTCCCTGACTGTCTGTACATAAACAACATTCTGGAGAGGAAGACCCTATTACCTCACAGTCTGTACATAAACAACATTCTGGAGAGGAAGACCGTATTACCTCACAGTCTGTACATAAACTACATACTGGATCGGAAGACCGTATTACCTCACAGTCTTACATAAACAACATACTGGATAGGAAGACCAATTTCCCTGACTGTCTGTACATAAACAACATTCTGGAGAGGAAGGCCCTATTACCTCACAGTCTGTACATAAACAACATTCTGGAGAGGAAGACCCTATTACCTCACAGTCTGTACATAAACAACATACTGGAGAGGAAGACCGTATTACCTCACAGTTTTACATAAACAACATTCTGGATCGGAAGACCGTATTACCTCACAGTCTTACATTAACAACATACTGGATAGGAAGACCCATTTCCCTGACTGTCTGTACATAAACAACATTCTGGAGAGGAAGACCCTATTACCACACAGTCTTACATAAACAACATACTGGATAGGAAGACCCATTTCCCTGACTGTCTGTACACAAACAACATTCTGGAGAGGAAGACCGTATTACCTCACAGTCTGTACATAAACAACATGCTGGAGTGGAAGACCCTATTACCCTGACAGTCTGAACATAAACAACACGCTGGAGAGGAAGACCCTATTACCTGACTGTCTGTACATAAACAACATGCTAGAGAGGAAGACTTATTACCCTGACTGTCTGTACATGAACAACATTCTGGAGAGGAAGATCCATTTCCCTGACTGTCTGTACATAAACAACATTCTGGAGAGGAAGACCCTATTACCTCACAGTCTGTACATAAACAACATTCTGGAGAGGAAGACCCTATTACCTCACAGTCTGTACATAAACAACATACTGGATCGGAAGACCGTATTACCTCACAGTCTTACATAAACAACATACTGGATAGGAAGACCCATTTCCCTGACTGTCTGTACATAAACAACATTCTGGAGAGGAAGGCCCTATTACCTCACAGTCTGTACATAAACAACATTCTGGAGAGGAAGACCCTATTACCTCACAGTCTGTACATAAACAACATACTGGAGAGGAAGACCGTATTACCTCACAGTTTTACATAAACAACATTCTGGATCGGAAGACCGTATTACCTCACAGTCTTACATTAACAACATACTGGATAGGAAGACCCATTTCCCTGACTGTCTGTACATAAACAACATTCTGGAGAGGAAGACCCATTTCCCTGACTGTCTGTACATAAACAACATTCTGGAGAGGAAAACCCTATTACCTCACAGTCTTACATAAACAACATACTGGATAGGAAGACCCATTTCCCTGACTGTCTGTACATAAACAACATTCTGGAGAGGAAGACCCTATTACCTCACAGTTTGTACATCAACAACATTCTGAGGAGGAAGACCCTATTACCTGACAGTCTGTACATAAACAACATTCTGGAGAGTAAGAGCGTATTACCTGACAGTCTTACATTAACAACATACTGGATAGGAAGACCCATTTCCCTGACTGTCTGTACATAAACAACATTCTGGAGAGGAAGACCCTATTACCTGACAGTCTGTACATAAACAACATTCTGGAGAGTAAGACCGTATTACCTGACAGTCTTACATAAACAACATACTGGATAGGAAGACCCATTTCCCTCACTGTCTGTACATAAACACCATTCTGGAGAGTAAGACCCTATTACCTCACAGTTTGTACATAAACAACATTCTGAGGAGGAAGACCCTATTACCTGACAGTCTGTACATAAACAACATTCTGGATCGGAAGACCGTATTACCTGACAGTCTTACATAAACAACATACTGGATAGAAAGAACCCATTTCCCTGACTGTCTGTACATAAACAACATTCTGGAGAGGAAGACCCTATTACCTCACAGTCTGTACATAAACAACATTCTGGATAGTAGGACCGTATTACCTCACAGTCTTACATAAACAACATACTGGATAGGAAGACCAATTTCCCTGACTGTCTGTACATGAACAACATTCTGGAGAGGAAGACCCCATGACCTGACAGTCTTACATAAACAACATACTGGAGAGGAAGACCCTATTACCTGACTGTCTGTATATAAACAACATTCTGGAGAGGAAGACCCATTACCCTGACTGTCTGTACATGAACAACATTCTGGAGAGGAAGACCCATTTCCCTGACTGTCTGTACACAAACAACATTCTGGATAGGAAGACCCTATGACCTCACAGTCTGTACATAAACAACATACTGGAGAGTAATACCCTATTACCTGACAGTCTTACATAAACAACATACTGGATAGGAAGACCCATTTCCCTGACTGTCTGTACATAAACAACATTCTGGAGAGGAAGACCCTATTACCTCACAGTCTGTACATAAACAACATTCTCGAGAGGAAGACCCTATTACCTCACAGTCTTTACATAAACAACATTCTGGAGAGTAGGACCGTATTACCTGACAGTCTTACATAAACAGCATACAGGATAGGAAGACCAATTTCCCTGACTGTCTACATAAACAACATTCTGGAGAGGAAGACCCCATGACCTGACAGTCTTACATAAACAACAAACTGGAGAGGAAGACCCTATTACCTGACTGTCTGTACATAAACAACATTCTGGAGAGGAAGACCCATTACCCTGACTGTCTGTACATGAACAACATTCTGGAGAGGAAGACCCATTTCCCTGAATGTCTGTACACAAACAACATTCTGGATAGGAAGACCCTATGACCTCACAGTCTGTACATAAACAACATACTGGAGAGTAATACCCTATTACCTGACAGTCTTACATAAACAACATACTGGAGAGGAAGACCCATTTCCCTGACTGTCTGTACATAAACAACATTCTGGAGAGGAAGACCCTATTACCTCACAGTCTGTACATAAACAACATTCTGGAGAGGAAGACCCTTTTTCCTGACAGTCTTACATAAACAACATACTGGAGAGGAAGACCCTATTACCTGACTGTCTTACATAAACAACATTCTGGAGTGGAAGACCCTATTACCTCACAGTCTGTACATAAACAACATTCTGGAGAGGAAGACCCTATTACCTCACAGTCTTACATAAACAACATACTGGAGAGGAAGACCCTATTACCTGACTGTCTTACATAAACAACATTCTGGAGAGGAAGACCCTATTACCTCACAGTCTGTACATAAACAACATTCTGGAGAGGAAGACCCTATTACCTGACAGTCTTACATAAACAACATACTGGATAGGAAGACCCATTTCCCTGACTGTCTGTACATAAACAACATTCTGGAGAGGAAGACCCATTACCCTGACAGTCTTACATAAACAACATACTAGAGAGGAAGACCGTATTACCTGACAGTCTGTCTGTACATAAACAACATTCTGGAGAGGAAGACCCTATTACCTGACTGTCTGTACATAAACAACATTCTGGAGAGGAAGACCCATTTCCCTGACTGTCTGTACATAAACAACATTCTGGAGAGGAAAACCCTATTACCTCACAGTCTTACATAAACAACATACTGGATAGGAAGACCCATTTCCCTGACTGTCTGTACATAAACAACATTCTGGAGAGGAAGACCCTATTACCTCACAGTTTGTACATCAACAACATTCTGAGGAGGAAGACCCTATTACCTGACAGTCTGTACATAAACAACATTCTGGAGAGTAAGAGCGTATTACCTGACAGTCTTACATTAACAACATACTGGATAGGAAGACCCATTTCCCTGACTGTCTGTACATAAACAACATTCTGGAGAGGAAGACCCTATTACCTGACAGTCTGTACATAAACAACATTCTGGAGAGTAAGACCGTATTACCTGACAGTCTTACATAAACAACATACTGGAAAGGAAGACCCATTTCCCTCACTGTCTGTACATAA